CTCTGACCGTGGAGGCTTCTCTGGTCATGGCAGAGGACAAACCAGAGGAGGTGATCGAGGTCGTGGTTCCTATAACACGCAAGGGAGAGGCTTTCTGCAACAGTTTGTCAATAACAACAACCGTGGTTCTTCCTCCAACACTCAGCGTCCTAGTTGTGAGATCTGTAGAAAGTATGGCCATTCAGCTGTCACCTGTTACAGTCGTTATGATCCATACAAACCTAGCTTTGACAATGCTCAGAATCATCTTCCTCAGGCACTCGCTGCAATGAAAGTCTCAGACAACAAGCAATCTTCTGGTCATGAGTGGTATCCGGACACGGGAGCTTTGGCTCATATCACCAACACAACTCATAATCTTCAGGCTTCTCAGGACTATCGTGGCACTGACAACGTCATGGTTACTGATGGGAACTTCCTGCCTATCACTCACATCGGATCAGTTCCTCTGCATACTATGTCAGGTAACTTAACACTCAATGAGGTTCTGGTTTGCCCTGATATCACTAAATCCTTGTTATCTGTGTCTAAGTTAACTAGTGAATATCCCTGCACAGTTAAATTTGATGGTAATGGTGTTCGTATAAAGGACAAGCACACCAAGCAACTCCTGACACAAGGAAGCAGGCGTAAGGATATATATGTTTTGGAGAATCATTCACCAGTGCAGGCTTTCTACTCCACTCGACAGCTCACTACTAGTGCTGATGTTTGGCGTAGAAGGCTGGGACATCCAAGTTCAGAGATTCTCCAACTGCTTATCAAGAATAACGCTATTTCAGATAATAAGATCGCCAACAAGCTCTGTGATTCCTGCCAGCTTGCTAAAAGTGCGACATTGCCATTTTCTTCTTCAGTCTATATAGCTACTCGACCACTTGAACATGTTCATTGTGATCTTTGGGGTCCAGCACCAGTATGTCCAGTTCAAGGGTTTCGATATTATGTAGTCTTCATTTACAACTTTTCAAGATATTGTTGCTTTTATCCTCTCAAGAATAAATCAGACTTTTACTCTACATTTGTATTGTTTCAGTCTCTTGTTGAGAATCAATTCCGTAACAAAATTCAGATTTTCCAATGTGATGGGGGGCGTGAGTTCACTAGCAAAATGTTTCTCACTCACTTAGATAACTGTGGGATCAAACAACTTCTATCTTGTCCTCATACCCCTCAGCAAAACGGCATTGCATAAAGAAAGCACCGTCACATTACAGAACTTGGCCTCTCGATGATGTTTCAAGGAAAAGTTCCTCAGCAGTATTGGGTGGAGTCTTTCTTCACTGCAAACTTTCTGAGTAATCTGTTGCCTTCCTCTACTTTGATGAACAATCAGAGTGCATATGAGGTTCTCTTCAACAGCAAACCTGATTACTCTGCCTTACGATCTTTTGGATGTGTATGTTATCCCTCACTTCGTTCTTATGCATCTGATAAGCTTGATCCAAGGTCCCTTCAATGTGTCTTCCCTGCCTACAGTGAAAAATACAAGGGATAATGTTGTCTATATCCTCCTACTGGTTGTGTCTACATCAGCAGGCATGTTCTCTTTGATGAGATGGTTTTTCCGTTCTCAACAACCTATTCTTGTTTCCATCAAGGTCAAAGAACTCCATTTCTCTCTGCTTGGCAACGCAGCTTTCTTGTTCCTACTGCAACTAGTATCTCGGCTCATGCAACCTCACCATCTGTTGCTCAGGAAACAGAGTCCACTTCTTGCCCTCTGTCTCCGACACTTCCTGCAACTGCAGATCCCACCACTGTCCCTCTCTTTACCGATAGTGACTTCCCTCCTCTGCAATCTACTGTCATGAGTCACCCTATGACAACTCGCTCTCGATAGTTGGGATCACTAAGAGAAATCCTCGTTATGCTCTTTTAACGATCACTTCAACACCTCCAGAACCAAAGACTGTTACTGCTGCTTTGAAACATCCAGACTGGAATGGAGCAATGTCAGAAGAGATTGGGAATATAGCTGAAACCAACACGTTTTCTTTGGTACCTTATCACCCGGATACGAACATTCTTGGATGCAAGTGGGTTTTCCAAACTAAGTTGAATGCTGATGGATCTCTTGATAAACTCAAAGCACATCTTGTTGCTAAAGGATTTGAGCAAGAAGAAGGCATTGATTATCTTGATACTTACAGCCATGTAGTTAAAACACCAACGGTCAGGTCAATCTTGCATGCTGCAACCGTGCTGAAATAGGACATTAAGCAGCTTGATGTTACAAGCGCGTCTCTTCACGGTGATCTCAGTGAAACTGTATACATGCATCAACCCCCTGGCTTCATTGATCCAGAAAAATCAGGTTATGTATGCAAACTTCACAAAGCGATTTATGGATTAAAACAGGCTCCTCGTGCTTGTTTCAACAAATTCAGCACCTACTTACTTGAGTTTGGGTTTGTCTGTTGTCCCTTTGATCCTTCTTTGTTTGTTTATCAGAAAACGGCAGTATCCTGCTCTTTTTACTCTATGTCGACGATATGGTTCTCACTGGCAATAACAACACTCCCATAGCAGAGCTCCTTGCCACTATGAGCAGTGAATTCAAGATGAAGGATCTGGGTCATCTGCATTACTTCTTGGGCATTCAAGCACATTTCCATGACGATGGCCTGTTCACCTATGCCTACTCCTCTGCCACTACAACTAAGCAGAGTCGCATGTCAAGATGAGCTCTTCTCTGAACCCTCCTACTTTCGAAGCCTCGCCGGAAAACTGCAATACTTAACTCTTAGACGTCCTGATATTCAGTTTGCGGTGAACTTCATCTGCCAGAAGATGCATTTACCCTCAGTTGCTGATTTTAATCTACTTAAGCGAAGTCTCCGTTACCTCAGAGGAACAACAGATTATGGTCTGAATCTTGCTACTGATACTGACTTTACAGTTCGCGCATACAGTAACGGTGATTGGCAGGTTGTCCTCTACTGGTGAGTTCTGCATTTTTCTTTGTTCCAATTTAATTTTGTGGTCTACAAAGAAACAAGCCACAGTTTCACGGAGCTCAGCAGAGGCTGAATATAGAACTCTCTCTGACACTGCAGCTGAACTTACGTGGCTTGGTAACCTTCTGCGTTATATCGGTTTTCCTACAGAGACATCACCTGAGTTGTATTGCGATAATCTCTCCGCCGTTTATCTCTCTGCAACTCCGGCTATGCACAAGCGCTCCAAACACTTTGAAGTCAACTTTCACTATGTTCGCGAAAAGGTTGCTCGTGGTTCCTTTGTTGTGCAACACATTTCTACTGCATATCAACTAGCTGATATCTTCACTAAGTCATTACCGATTCAATCTTTCACCGATCTTCATTTCAAACTTGGTGTGGATTCTCTCACCCAAAGTTTTAGGGGGGGTGTTAGCAAGACTGTTATGGGCCGCACCGAAGACAACAACACGAAGTTGGGCCTGTGTCAACATGATGAGCCCAATAAGGCAAAACAACACTCAACGTCTAAGTATAAATCAAAACAGAGGATGTCACAATCAAGCGCTAAGAACAAGAAATGTTAGTACAATTCAGCTGGTAACATAGTTATCAGGAATAGATTCCAAAGTCTAAGATCAAGTGAAGTTGAGTGTATCTAAAATGTGTACACCCCCTTCTACGGTTTTCATTGAAAGTCTATTTAAAGACATATCTTGTAATATTTTCAAGTAAGAAATAAGAGATTACAATGTTTTAAGAAAAAAATTCTTATCTTTTTCAAAGCTCTTCGCTTTTCTTATTTCTGCTTTCAGATAAATGGAGCTCAAATAGTATATATTTGTGGAGGTTCTTGTGGTAGAGCTGTGTGATAAATGGTTATATAGGTTTATTTCCTCTGTCTGGAGATATGTTAAGGCATTCTTTTCTATATAATACAATCAGTAAAGTGCACATTGGACTCGGGAATTTTGAATAATGTGGATCTATAACTTAATCAATATAGACATGACAGCACTCTAGTTTTTGTTTTTATCAAACTATGAGCTTTATAATGTTCTTTCATTTCTAGTATGAAAGTTTTGGATAATTTGGGTGATTCGGTGATTTACTTGACACAATGACACATGCTTTTTTTTTACTTGACACATGCCTTATTAAACAAATGTGGTAACAAAAATTAAGTAAAAAGATAACAAGATTATGTGTAAACTCATGTGAGTTAAATTCATAGTTGATCTAAATCCAATAAGTTTACAACCTGTTTAGGGAGGAAATAGCACATCACCGGCCTTTGCCGAGAGTAAGAATGCCATGACCAAAAACCTCGGCCCTTAGGTGGTACCACACACCCATAATCAAGTGGATCCAAAGTGGTATCGCTACAAATACATAAACTTTTTCTGTGTATATCTATGTGAGTTAAATCCATACATGATAAATTGCAATCACAATTTGATAAAAATATTTTCATACTCTGTAGAAACTATACACTTTGCGCACTGAAAATGTGGTAAAGAAAAGAAGAAACATTGAACTAAGGCATAAACAACTTTATATAAACTCACTGAGAAACTATAAGGAATAACTGTGTAAGTTACTGTCGTTTTAATTAATAATCTAAAGTGTAGCTGTATTAAACCGCTTCATCTCCATGTCTCTATTTTTCGTGCCACGGAAGCTGAGAGTAGTAACAATGGTTGACTCTACAACTGAAAAATTCAAGCAATTAGCAATGTCTTCTTTTACGGACCGGTTGTGTAGAAAAGGTTAACGTAAGAACGTTTCTGTGTTGTGGGTATCGTAATGCTTCTAGTGAAGCATTTTTGGTTTGTATATAAAGTATTGCGATACAAATTAAACCCCAATTTTTCTGTAGAATGTAAGGAGGATGATACTGTATATGTCTATTTTCTTGTGTAGTGGGAATGTGTACATCAACTAAACCGAACCGAACCGAATCCATATTTTGGTAAAACTGATGGTTTTACTTTGGTTTGTAAGATTTGAGATTATTAATTTTGTTGACTTGCTCTTTTGTTAATTCAAGATTTGAGATTAATCTTCAACGGCTCTCGGAAATATAGCCGTTACGGACTTTCCGATTAGAGGAATTGGGGTCAACTAAAACCCTAAATTGCCTCACAATGCTTTAACATTATAAATTTACCCCAAAGTTCGTACCTTTCTCCATCAATCCGATCTGCTCTCATCGAACATCTCTTTGCGATCTCTCTCTCTCTCTCCCTCTGCTCGAATTTACCAACGCTTCCATCGCCTCAGGCTTTGTTAGATTCGTCTTTCCTCTGATTTCGTTTAATTGCTCCGAGAATTTAGAACTTTTAATCCGTTTCGTATATTATCGTGCTTTCTGTTTCTTTGTGTTTGGGTTTTTGTTTTCTCTGTGTTTCGTAACAATGGATGCAGGTATGAACACATCTTCGCACTTGAAGGCGCAGGCTCGGTTTCCACTTCAAGAACACTTTCTTCCCAGGAAAAAGTCGGAAAATGTGAGTTTTCTTTTACAATTGTCTCATCAAGAATCGATACCATCATCATAGGAATTAGGAATTGTTGATTAGAATCATAGATTTTGAATCGGTTGTGATATTTGATGAATTGTACTGATTCGACCTTTGTGATCCGCCAGCTGGACAGATTTATACCAAACAGATCAGCAATGGATTTCGATTATGCTCACTTCGCCCTCACCGAAGGAAGGAAAGGTCAAGATCAAGCAGCAACGGTAAGCTCGCCATCAAGAGAGGCCTACAGGAAGCAGCTCGCTGAGACGATGAATCTGAATCGCACCAGGATTCTCGCCTTCAGGAACAAACCTCAAGCTCCAGTCGAATTGCTTCCCGTCGAGCACTCTGCTTCCCTTCACCAACAACCCAAATCCGTTAAGCCTCGTCGATACATTCCTCAGGTATGCTCTTTGTTTATTATTTCGAGTTCCAAAGAATAGATCCCCACCCTACTTGTTGTGTAAACTTTATGCTTTTATAATAGACTTCTGAGAGAACCTTGGATGCACCTGACATTGTGGACGACTTCTACCTCAACTTGCTGGACTGGGGCAGTGCCAATGTCCTAGCCATTGCGTTGGGCCACACTGTTTATCTGTGGGACGCTTCCAGTGGTTCCACGTCCGAGCTTGTGACCATTGATGAAGAGAAAGGACCCGTCACGAGTATCAACTGGGCACCTGATGGTCGTCATGTTGCAGTTGGGCTCAACAACTCCGAAGTGCAACTGTGGGATTCGGCATCCAACCGTCAAGTAATTACAAAAATCCTTCACTCTTATGTTCGAGATAAAAAAAAACATCATGCTTGCCATCATGTCTTAAACCTGATGTGTTGTGTACTGATTTCTGCAGCTGAGGACGTTGAAAGGTGGCCACCAGTCAAGAGTAGGAGCATTGGCATGGAACAATCACATCCTGACAACGGGAGGAATGGATGGGCAGATCGTCAACAACGACGTACGGGTCAGATCTCACGTTGTGGAAACATACAGTGGTCACAGTCAAGAGGTTTGTGGGCTCAAGTGGTCAGGATCTGGACAGCAACTAGCAAGTGGTGGCAATGATAATGTGGTACACATATGGGATCGTTCGGTCGCCTCCTCAAACTCGACCACACAATGGCTGCACAGGCTTGAGGAACATACATCTGCAGTTAAAGCCCTTGCCTGGTGCCCTTTCCAAGCGAATTTGCTTGCAACTGGTGGTGGAGGAGGAGACAGGACGATAAAGTTCTGGAACGCTCACACAGGAGCTTGCTTGAATTCATTAGACACTGGCTCCCAAGTTTGTTCTTTGTTGTGGAGCCAGAATGAAAGAGAGTTGCTTAGCTCACACGGGTTTACACAGAATCAGCTTACATTGTGGAAGTACCCATCTATGGTGAAGATGGCTGAGCTTAGTGGTCATACATCAAGAGTTCTCTATATGGCCCAGGTGAAGAGAAAAAACTTGATCAATTTCTATCTTTACCTGCTGGAAATGGTTTTGAGTTTTTGAGGTCTTTAGTTCTGAAACTTGTGTTATTTGTCTGTGTTTCCTACAGAGTCCAGATGGTTGTACCGTAGCTTCAGCAGCAGGAGACGAGACTCTGAGATTCTGGAATGTTTTTGGAGTACCAGAGACCGCCAAAAAACCTGCTCCAAAAGCAGCTCATGAGTCATTTTCTCATGTGAACCGTATTCGCTGAAGAAACTGTGAAAGGCTAACAACAAGGGAAAGCCACTGAGATTTAGTACAGAAGGAAACTATTTTACCTTGTTACTTTTTTGGGTTTCATTATTCATGAACTGTATTGCCACCAATTTCTAGTGTTGTGTGATAAATGGTTGTATAGGTTTATCTCCTCCTGCGTGAGGTAATTTTGGATCTCTGTCTGGAGATTTTTTCTATATAATACAATCAGTTGAAAGAAGAAAAAAAAAAAACTGTATTGCCAAGTAAAAGTGCACATTGGGTTTGGGAATTTTGAATAATGTGGAACTATAACTTCATCAATATAGACATGATATCAACTAGTTTTTATTTTTCTATCAAACTATGAGCTTTATAATGTTCTTTCACTTCTACTATGAAAGTTTTGAATAATTCGGGTGATTCAGTGATTACACATGCTTATTTTTTTGAAGTAACTAAATTATGCCAGATGACACATGCTTATTAAACAAAAAATTGGTAAAAAAAAAAGATAACAAGATATGTGTAAACTCATGTGAGTTAGATTCATAATTGATCTAATCCAATAAGTTTACAACCTGTTTAGGGGAAAATAGCACATCACCGGCCTTTGCCGAGAGTAAGAATGCCATGACCAAAAACCTCGGCCCTTAGGATTACTTTTATAATTGCAAAAAAAGATAGGAAATCGCTCATTTTATTCCTGAAGTATTTGAAATTGGCACTTTTATTCCCAGAGTATCGCTTGTGCAGATTAATTCCTCAAGTTTGAGTTGACTGTGCAAAATCAGGATTAATATAGTCAACCGTTAAATAGTTAACGTGAATCGTTAATATTAATAGAAAGGAGCAAACGCGATTTTAGTGTAAACACAAAAAATCCCAATTCTATAACCTAAAATCGGTGAGAACAGTGAAGATCCAGTGAGAAGATTGAATTCCGACATCAAGAGAAGATGAAGAACACTAGGAAGAACAAAAATGTCTGCCTAGAATCAGAACGAATCTCCTCTGTTACTAAATCTGTAGTATCAATTGATTGAATGTATAGATTGATGGAATGATATAGCCGATTAAAGTAGGAGGGTTCCATCTGTAGAAATGAATCTGGTAATTCTTCTGGATATGGGTTCTTCAATGATGTAAAAAGATTTCCCATAAAATGTGTTTGTGGAAGTGATGTTCGGATCTATACATCACATTCAGTAGATAATCATGGGCGTCCTTACTTTCGTTGTTGTGCTTCTCGAGAGGTAAAATTCTAATTCCTTTTTCTTCATTAGTTAAAACTTGTATTTCTAATTCATTCTTCTTCATTAGTTGAAAATTGTTTGTGAGAATACTAAACTTGGGAACCTTTTGTTTGTTAGTCGTAGAAAGGGCATTTGTTCAAATGGGTGGAAGATGGAATGTATGAAGAAGTGAATGAGGTAAAGGTTGATGGAATGATTGTAGTGAAAGAGCTCAAGGTTGAGATCGAAAATTAGAAAGAGGAAGTGCTCCAATGCAAGAAGGAGTTAAGCAAATTCAAAACCAAGAACATTGCAATTGTTGTAGGTTTGTGTGTTTTGACATTTGTGATCATCTACCAGATCATGTTTCATAAAAAAGAAGGAAACACTCTTGTATTGGGTAACTAATTCGAATTTGTTAGATGTATGAGCTTTTGTGGCAATGTAAGAGATGATTTATGAGCTTTTGAGACAATGTAAGAGATGATTTATAAGCTTTTGAAACAATTTAAGAGTTTGTCAGTTAAGATAAAATTTGTTGTTTGAAGTTTGATGATGAATTTGAGATGTTATAGAAGCTTTAAAGTCTTGAAATGGAATCGACAAAAAGGGTAAAACAAAGTTTGTCATTAAAACCAGCCGATACATGTTCAGAACTAGCTTAAACTACATAATTGCAGAAACACAAATATCCGAAAAGCACAAATATTCCAAAATGCTAAAAACACAAGTTCACTCTAGCACAAGAAAAACCAAATACTTTTTACGCTGGTTGAGAAATTCCTTCTTGTGATGCTTCAACTTGAGAAGGTCTTGCTTGAGAATTTTCTGCTTGAGAAGGTCTTGTTTGAGAGCTCTCTCCCTACAAACTAAACCAAAATCATAAATCAACCAGCTAAACACCAACCACAAATCAAACAACAGAACACAAATCAAACGGTTATATCCACCAAACCGCAAACCACAAAACATCAAACTCAAATCAAAAAATCACATATCAAACAAGAAGAGAGGTGATTTCAAACCTGATCTTTTCTTGGACGACCTCTTCGCCGTTTTGGTTCAGGAGCTGCTGCTGTATTAGGACATCTTGTCATATTATGACCTTCCTTTCTACAGTTTGAGCATGTTCCCACACGACCATGGCGTGTTAACTTGTTTGGGTTAGAGGAAGATTCATGAGGACTTTTTCTTCTAGCATAGTCATTAGGTCTCCCACGGTTGAATCTTGAAGGTGGTGGCAAGACTGGTAACCTACCTAACCTTCGCCACATTTTCAATCCTTGTACAGGCCTCATACCAATAGCATAGAGTTGGCGCCACTTTGAAGTCAAATAGTAATCAGAGACATAGTCATTAAGATCTAACCTTGTTGTTGTGATGACACACATAGCATGCATACAAGGTATCCCATTCAATTGCCAATAGCCACAACCGCACGTTTTCTCTTCCATATTGACGGCGTAAGCACAACCCTGAAAGTCCACTTCGTGCAAATTTCCAGTGGTCAACCATCTTTTACAATCCTTAGCTTTCTTTCTGTTAAGTTCAATCTCTTTGTCTGCTCTTGGGGTGAACCTCTTCTTCCATCTATTGGTTAAAACTGTTCTTCTTGCATTTCTCACCATGCATTTTCTCTTTACCTCCGTTAACATATCAAGACAGGTTATTCAGATTGTCATTGCAGCACGATCCAGTCTTGAAGAAAGCCCGAGACCATGTCGTTGGTGCAGTGCATTGCAATGAATCATAAGCGCTTCGATTGTACTTCTTCAATTCTTCTAAATTATCTCCAAACGATGTAGGTGTGTAACTCCTTGCTCTTTTCCAAAATAATCGCTCAAGCTCTATGTCTTTATTTGTCTTCTTCCAATTTTGCAAAATGTGTCTAGCGCACATGCGATGTTCAGCCCTATGAAGCTCAAGATGAACTGCATTTAGTATGCCTTGTTACATAAAACAAACGAAATAAGACAATATTACAAACATAACACCATAATATGAAACTAAGACTCACATTATGTTTGTCTGAAATGATTGTAATGTCAGCTCCATCTTCAAGTCCTAAGTCTCTTTTCAATAGTCGCACAAACCACAACCAGTTGGGATTATCTTCTACATCGACCACTGCCCAAGCTATAGGAAATATCCTATTATCGCCATCTCTACCAACTGCAGCTAGCATTTTCCCTTTGATATCCCATTTCATAAATGCAGCATCTAAACCGATAATGGGTCTACATGATTGCCTCCAAGATGATTTTAAGGCTTCAAAACAGACATAAAGACGATGGAACCTCTACTTGCTTCCCGGAACTGGACCAGGAATTGTTTCAATCTCCATTGTTAATCCCGGATTTGATTGAATTACCTCTTCCTGATAATCCCAAATTCGAGCAAAGTGAGCTTCATGACTAGCTTTTCTTTTCGCTGCAAGAAATGCCTTCGCTCTCCTACACTAGTCCGGACTGACAATCATATTATACTCTCTCTTTATCTCATCAACCATTTCCTGTGGCTTGATTTTTGGATTAACTCTAAGCCTTTCTTCGTAGAGTTGTGCAATAGATCCACTCTTCAAAAGCTTTGTGTAGCCTGATCTTACACAGATATGATTGTCGATGTAGACCTTTACCAACAGTTTGTTTCTGCCTCTCTCAAAAGAGCAATACACTCTCCACGGGCATTTTTCTTCTATGTGATGTGTGCACCTTGCACCAAGTCTATCCACTGATGATTTGTAGAATTTGATATCATATTGTGTCTTTAGAGAATACCTTAAAACTGCATACTTGAATTCCTCTGCATTATTGAACGTTTTCCCTAACGTTAGCAGCTCATCGGGATCGCAATTGAATCGCCTCTCATATTCTTCATCTTGCACACAATCATCATCTGATAGTGGATCTGGAATGTGATCATCGTTCCATAAATCATGGCCACTGTCATATGAATTGTAACCTGCAGCATTTGCATCATCATCACGGACAGCATCATTAAAATGAGCTAGTACATCGTCATCTTCACAACATCCGACTTCTACCTTCACAAAACCATCGTCATTTGTATCATCATTATTCGGTTGCAAATCTGGTTCAGACTCTTTGTATCCAGTTGTATCTTCAACGATAACCTCACAATTATCTTCCTGAACTTCTTCTTCATACCCATTTATTTCAGCATTAGAGTCGGCTTTTTCTTTTCCACAGGATCTCCTTTCTTCACCAATACTTGTTGTTTCTTCTTCACACACATTACCATCTTCATGTGCCCTAGAACAAATTAAACATGCTTCAAATCCCGAATTTCTCTGTATTTACTCGAATCAAATTCAAAAGTTCCACAAATTTTACATTTCTGTGACTGTTGGGATTTTGGGTTCAACCACACTCGATTGCTGCCTTCGAGTAGCAATTTTCTTGCTTCTTCCTCTGCTTCCGTAAAAGGTTCTCACCATTTCGCTGTCGAATTCTGATTTTTTTTTTTGAATTTTATGTGTTCTCCTCAGAAATCGCCTTCTCAGGCATGAAATAGTCGAAGTCGAAGGTTACAAAATTAGGGATTTGTGTTTAGACTAAAATCTCGTTTGCCCCTTTTATTAATATTAACGATTAGTGTTTATTATTTAACGGTTGACTATATTAATCCTGATTTTGCGCAGTTAACTCAAACTTGAAGAATTAATCTGCACAAGCGATACTCTGGGAATAAAAGTGCCAATTTCAAATACTTCAGGAATAAAATGAGTGATTTCCCAAAAAAGATAACAAGATATGTTATAAGTTAGATTCATAATTGGTCAGGGCTCTCATGGAAATGTATTCTCTAGTAATCCCAAATGCAAATGCATTATGTATTTATGTATGAGAGATGATGAAATGAGTTAAAATCCAATAGAGAGAGTTAAAAACCAAACTATGTCTCACACGATCTAAGAAGACATGCAATGTTTGATCCGGCTCAAGATCCAAATAATACATTTATATTTCTTGATTGCATTATCGACGTTTTCATTTCTGGAAGTAAAATCATATTATGGTGGTTTAAAACAAACGTTAGATATTTATAGTAAAATCAATAATGCAATAAGACTTGTACTTTTTTAGGTGATGACAACTTAATTTTTTCATGTTTTTAAAAGCTGACATTTTTATAAAAATTTATTCTGAAAAACTAATATAAACTTTAGTTTTATACGTTTCAGCCGTAAAAAATGAAAATACGAGTCTTCATTGTTTTGTTTCTCCGTTCTAACTTCCAATTTCAATGAATTTTTATAAAATTATCTCTTTGGTTTCTCTCTCTAAATGAGTCTTTGAAAAACTCTCATTTTCCAGACTTCATAACATCCTCATAAACTTTTTAATTACTTCCTATCATCAGAAAGATGCTGATGTGCTCCAAACCGTTACTTGGACTTTCTGGTTTATAAATGTATTCTCTAGTAATCCCAAATGCAAATGCATTATGTATTTATGTATGAGAGATTATGAAATGAGTTAAGATCCAATAGAGAGAGTTAAAAACTAAACCATATGGTATCTCACACGATCTAAGAAGACATGAAATGTTTGATCCGGCTCAAGATCCAAGTAATACACTTATATTTCTTAATTGCATTATCGACGTTTTCATTTCTGGAAGTAAAATCATCTTATGGTGGTCTAAAACAAACGTTAGATATTTATAGTAAAATAAATAATGCAATAAGACTTGTACTTTTTTAGGTGATGACAACTTAGTTTTTTCATGTTTTTAAAAGCTGACATTTTTATAAAAAAATTATTCTGAAAAACTAATATAAACTTTAATTTTATACGTTTCAGTCGTAAAAAATGAAAATACGAGTCTTCATTGTTCTGTTTCTCCGTTCTAACTTCCAATTTCAATGAATTTCTATAAAATTTTCTCTTTGGTTTCTCTTTCTAAATGAGTCTTTGAAAAACTCTCGTTTTCCAGACTTCCTAACATCCTCATAAGCTTTAATTACTTCTTATCATCAGAAAGACGCTGATGTGCTCCAAACAGTTACTTGGGCTTTTTGGTTTATCAATACGACTTTTGGAGGGAGGTAAAATTCATAACGGTGGTTGAGAAAATAAGAGGCCAGTAGAGCCCAATAGAGGTCCCTTACTTGGAAATTACCGCCCCCGTCTGTCAACACGACTCTAGTCAATACGATGCCAGGAAGTTATTGCATAAAAATGGTATCAGAGCCTGATGCTTTCGAACTGATAGAAAGAATTATTGTTTATGATGGATTGTTTTGAATGTTCTGGAAAACACTTTCTCACCATGTCTTCTTCAAATCCTTTATCAATCGATTCTCCATTTACAATTTCTACTTTACCAAAAAACAAAAGTCATTCATCCGCTTCCAGCATAAATTCTCTATATGAAATTGAATATGTTTTGGGAGATCAAATACCCGAAACTACCCTTCCGCTGGTGAATCCATACAAAAACTTTGCAAAAAAGCCTAGCGCCTTTTCCGTCAAAGGTGTTCGTGAGCTAATAAAACCATCTTCGAACAGAAGGGTCATGGAGTATGTCCAATCCAGCAAATTCTCATCATGTCAAGTCCCAGCTACTGAAGAATAATAGTTCATCTCGCTCAACATTCCAGAAAATCTACCAAGGTTGTGACAACAGCACGGATACACTCATCTTCACTTCGGAGTAGTGTGAAATGGTCTGACCCTACACACTCGAAAAGGTCTACCGGTAGTAGCCCGCATAGCTTTAGTCGACTCAAGACTAAAGTCATACCATCAAGCCTGCATCAGAACAGTTCAAACAACATTAAACGCAGGAACAGTATTTTTCACATTGTTTCCAAACTTTAATATTTTCCTGAAAGACCCCAATCTGCTACAAACGCTCAAAGTCCAATTACAACTAGTCGGAGCACCTATGCAAGAAAAAAGCATCGTAGCGAGCCTACACCATTAGATCGTCTATTGAATCCAAGATCATGCTCTTGATCTTGCATTGCCATCATCTAATGAAGCTTTATACTTAGAAGTCATATCGGCATTGCAGGCACCCAACTCAATTCAGATTCCTCGACAAATTTCTCGCGATGAGTTACAACGTCGACTACCAGAATCATGGGTCACGAGCTATGAAAAGCTCCATCAAGCAACCCATACTCCGGTTCAAACATCTGAAGTCAGCTTCCATTCTTGAAATGATGGAACAACAGAGATCAAGTTCGAAAAGAAAAGATCATCATCGTTTCGAAAGCAACTGTTCCCTCAATTTGCAATACAAATTGATGAACACAGTTTCCATGATCCATTCAAAGAGCAAGTTCCAAAACCAATTTTATTTGGTCAAGACGGATCAGTCGTCTACCCCTTCAAGGATGAGAACGGACATCAATACTTCGATGTATGTTCTTGCACTGCTTGCAAAGCGGACTTCTAAGAGTCTGGCGAAGAAATCCGCTAAAGATGAAGAAAAAAAGAAAGATCCTCTTTACAAGAGATATCTCGAGAGTTATCCCACTGTCGGACCGTTAGGTGACGACAAATATGATTTTATTGTCCAAGACTCAGAGAAAAGAGAAAAACCAACAATCATGATGATGCAAGCAAACAATTTCCCTCCACCTGAAGATTTCACCAAAGACGATATCGCTCATAGTCCAAAGATCCTCACAAGAGCCATCAACTCTACTGGACCTGACCAGCTAAGCCAAGCAGAAAAGGTTCTCAATTGGTAAACGGAGTATGCTCTAGTCCAAAATCAACTTTTAACAACAATAAATCCCGATGGCTACAACAATAGATTAATCAGTCTACAAAGCTCAATAATGGAGATCTATGGCCAACTTAATAATCTTCATCAAGAAATGACAGCTATGGCACAACACATGATGGTTAACATGTCGAACTTCAGAAGCAAAGAAGCTGAGACGGCTAACCTCAAAAACCAGCTAAAAGATCTCCAGAGATGCCTAGAGAGCATGATTCATAATCGAAATCAAGCAAATACATACTTTAATCCTCTTGGAAATATGCCTTCAGGAATACCTATGTATCAAGGTTCCTACTCACCATGATTTCTCTCCGACTATGAAGAACAAAGAACAAAGCCATTTCTCCCAGGATTCTTATCATCCGATGAAGCTTTCACATCTCGATATGGCACGCCATCAGTTAGCAATTTTAAAAGGACAACTCGGGCAAAACCGAGAAGACAAAAAGACTCATAATTCCTAGTCAATCCAACCAAGAGACCAACTCTTACCTCCTCCTCAAGCCACAAATCTATTGAAGATTCGAAGAAGAAAGAAATGATATCGGCATAATCGAATTCTCGATGTCCAGCCTACTCGATACTATCGGCAAAAATTCTACTGAAACGGCACCTAGAGGACAAGCCCAATCAACTCAAGTCAGTTTGTCACAGCTAATCACGATGATCAAGCATTTTTCTGACACAAGATCCACTAGCTACGATGATAGTTCAGACAAGGAGTCGCTTCCAAAGCAATTTGCTATTGGAGAAGGATCTAATGCCCCAAAAAGAGAACCAGATATAAATGAGGTCTTTTCAAGCGATGAGGAGATGAGTTACACGCACCCCAGAAATCAAGAAATACCATCAAAGCAATTCGCTTCAAAAGTTATGACATTCACATTCGATGACATTCCCTTTAAAAAAGGAATGATCGGCTTAACGAATTTCATGCATGGATGACTTCAGAAGCCATAACATTGCCATTAGAACTTGTCATTCAGCTATCTACAGCACGACTATCCGGAGCTTTTAAAGAATGGTGGAATTCGCTTGGTAAATACCGACAGCAACAAGTATACCAAACAACCATTCCCTTGCTTCTGGAGAGAAATTCACAAAAATTTATTAGTACACCTACTCATCTAAAAGAACAACTACAAGAATAATTCTTCACGGCAAAATGTTGTTCGCTCAAGAAGAAAGACTTAACCTACTTCGAACAACAAAATCAGAGATATTATGCACTCAATAGCCTCAACTGTATTTAGTGTTTACACATTTGTTTGGCTGTAACTTTTATAAGCTGGCACGAGCACATAGAAACTATGAAAATTAGGAGACTTCGCTTGCATTTTTTTTTTAATTGAATTATAGAATTTATTGTTTAGCAGCTATTTTGAGCAAAAATGTTTAGCCCCTTTATCAGCAAAGAATGAAAGAGCAACCATGTTAGAATATTAATAATTTGTCTCTTTCTCTGTTTCTAAGCCAAAAACCGTTTACAGATTCCTTTTATTTGAGTTGAGTAAAAAAGTGAGCTATATTTCTAACTTCTAATCATCTGGTTAATCAACGATTTTATTTATTTGGTATAGTAGATCTTTTAGAGATAGGATTAGGTCTGGGCATTTTTTCCTAATCCAAAATCCGATACGGATCCGATCCAAACCAGTTTGGATTCTTTACAATACCGATTGGATATAACTGTTATTGATTTCCGGGTATCCGGTAATATCCGGATCTGATCTGATATTCGAAATATCCGATTTTCTAAATTCTCTTAGTATTTATGTTTTATGTCTTTTATATCTATATTCTTTAGTGACAATTTAAAGTTGGAATTTGTATATTTATTATTATTTAAAAATTTTAAGTAATTTTATTTTAAACCGATACTATTTTAGTTATTTTTGAATTTTTATATTTAAATTTTTTGTTATTTTCAAATATTTTGATTATATTTGGTCATTTTCAATTATTTTGGATAAAAGTACTTGAACTCGAATCCAATTCCAAAAAAATTGGATTCAAAAAATCTTATCCAAACCGAATCCAATTTAAAATATAATAATATTTGATTGGTACCAGAAACTATATTTCCAAAATATCTGAAAATCTGAAATATCTGACCAATCTGATCCGGTAATCTAAATATCTACCCCTAGATAGGATGATGGCAAAGTAAAGCACGGCAAATAATTAATCTCTAACATAACATTTTACTAAAACACTAAAAATAACTAATCTATAACATCTGAAAACAACAAATTATTTTCATTAAAAAAAAACAACAAATTCTGAGCAGAGCATGAAGTTCAATAAAATGGATACTTCTTTTTCGAAGAACTACCAATCAAAGATAAATTACTGCTCAATGTGGATATAAAACTGAAATTAGTCATTTTATTGCGATTTTGGACTCTTGAGCTTCAGATTTACTCCCTTTGAGAATCAGTCTTAGTTTATTTTTTAAATAGCAAAAATATTAAACGAAGCATGTAAACTTCAGCAAAAATGAATAAAAATAAGACGCATAAACAAAGAGATTGATAAATCAAAACAAACCAAAAATATCCAAACGAGATTTTGTATTTCAAAAGCATATAACCCAACAATATTTGACAGTAATTAAGTTACACAAAGCCATTAAACGCGAGGGAGAGGAGATCCATGGTCTACTCTTTGAAGCTGAATGGCCCTGTGAGACTCGTCATCATTATCATAGTAGATATAAGCAAAACCACCGTGACGCGTCATATCCATACCGGCCATCTCATCTTTCTCCGAGATCCTAAGCAGGTTGAGCTTTTTGAGGATGAAGAAGAGTGTTCCCATTGTGGCACTAACCCATCCTGCAACCACAAGTATTTGAACCAATTGTGCTCCCAATAGCTTCCCTCCTCCGCCCATTAAAAGCCCATACGGCCTTCCCACAGTCGCCCCGTAAACCTCGTTTAGATACTTCTCCTTTGCAAAAAGTCCCACGAATATAAGCCCCCACGCACCGCACCCACCGTGAAGTTGCGCTGCCTCGAGCGGATCATCGTATTGTACGATCTCTGCGAGCTTGTTGCATCCGAAAAGGACAAGGGCAGCCACGAAACCGCATACTATTGCTGCCCATGGCTCCACCACGGAGCAACCTGCCGTTATGGCCGCAAATCCACCAAGTAGACCGTTGCAAACGTCAGTTACGTTCCAGTGACCTGAGAGGAGGCGTTTTCCAAAGAGTGTAGTTAGAGCTGCCGTGCATCCCGCCAGCGTGGTTGTAACCGCTGTTCGCCCGATTCCGCTCCATTGGCCGTAGCTGGAACCAGAATTGTATGGAACGAGGATCTTGGTGAAGGAACCGGGGTTGAAACCGTACCAACCGAACCAAAGGAGGAACGTTCCTAAGACAACGAGGGAAGCAGAGTGGCCACGTAGAGCAATAGCACGTCCACTTTTCTCGAACCGGCCACGACGAGGACCTTCGATTAGAGCACCCCATAATCCTGCTATCCCACCAACCATGTGAACAACACCGGAGCCAGCGAAATCTATGGCTCCGGTGCTAAACAAACGGTCTCCCGCTGGACGGAAAGGACTAGCCCATCCATCAGGTGACCAAAACCAGTGAGAGACGACCGGGTAAACAAATCCGGTTAAAAAGGAAGAGTAGATCAAGTAAGCCACGAACTGAGTCCTCTCCGCGATGGAACCGCTTGTGATTCCTGCGGCCGCGATTGCGAACGCCCATTGGTAGAGGAAAAAAGAGTAATCGGCGGTGAGAGTCGGAAAGTCCCTAAGAGCAAAGTTGTGCCTTCCGATGAATCCTTCCGAGGATCCTCCATAGGCAAAGGCGTAACCAAAGAGATAGTAGAAGAGTCCTCCGGCTGCAGCGTCAAGGACATTTGTGAGCATGATGTTCATCGTATTCTTGGCTCTAACGGAGCCAGCACAGAGCATAGCAAAGCCGAGCTGCATCGCGAAGACGAGATAAGCGGAGAAGAGGAGGTAAGTGTTGTCTATGGCGAAGGCTGCATCGGTGAATTTGTTGTTAACGGTGCCTAACTGGCCGCAGATGTAGTCGGCCGCCGCGGTGGCGTTTGGACCGAGAAGGGCGGAGAGATCGGCCACAGAGCAAGTTAGAGCTCCTGACATGTTGAGAAAGAGAGACACGGAGAAGAATGGCCGTCTCTTGTGTGTCTATTAAAAGGAAGAAGGTGGGTTTATAGTTGACTTTTGATTCCGGCATGACCAATTAAATTAGAGAGAAAATTACTAATTCAAATAGTTATGTGACACAAAAAAAAACATTATTAAATTGGGAATAGCATCTGCCAAAATTTCTTAACAACTTGCACTCTACGTCCTAATCCTATACGGTTTTGTTGATTTAGTGATTAGCATGTAGTTGCGCATATATAAATTAAAAATTACTGTATGTGATGAATCCATACTTATTAGATTGATGGTAGTATTTTAAACCACAAAGCTAATTTTCTAGTTGTAACTAAGGGTCTTCTTTCAGCTAAATGTAAATAGAAATCAAGGGTCTACTTTATCCCGAAAAGGGATTAAATTCTCTGATCATATCATAACTTTAACAAAAAGAATGAATGGCATTCCTGAAAAATATTTAAAAAATGAATGGATAAAATTTATTTGGTTAAAGCGATAAATATGATACGTTCAAACGTAATATACGATAGACACATATTGACCAATAAAATCTTTTTGTTCGTTAATATTGGACTATACAAGAAGGACACAGACGATTACCGTACAATGTGGGACCCGTTGCATAAATCGTTTCCTTTGCCTTTAGTGAAACTCATCGTGCTTTGTCTTCGGGGATAACTTTCACATGCATCCCCAATTTATTTTTTTTTAATCAAATAAAATAAACTTTTTAAAATAGTATTCTTTAGCAAAATAAATTGTGGCATATAGCAAAACGAATTAAATTACTTGCTTTTTTTGCTAAATACATACTATACTTGTGTTCAACTGAAAGTTAACTATAATACTAAAAGAGAAACTCTATACATATATAGTAGTATTTATAATATGGGCGATGTCAATTTATTATTTGTGTCAATGTTTCCGAGGGTGAACAGATGATAGTTTCCACTAATACTGTTTTTCCAAATGACAGTCACGGTAATATTTAATAAAAATGTCCATTTATAAAGAAGATAAAAGCTGGATGCATTAGTCTTTGAAGTCTAAATCTTAATAAGACAGTTTGATTACCAAGTATTATATAATTAATTAATTATATTCGTGATTTAATTAGTTTTATTTTCATACAACATGCATTATAATATCAAATATTTGATGCTTCAAATGGTTTACATATACGCATAGAGATTTCAAATTTTAAATCTAAACTTACAATATTTTTGTGTTTACTTGAATTTGACATGTGTTGTAGGGAAGAATTTTAAACTAATTCATTATTTATCCTACTATCGGGATATGGGTTCATACAAGCCATATTATCTCAAACACGCTTTTCAAAAATCTCACAAATAATAACAGAAAATATTGTTTTATTCTTTCTTTCTTTGTCACATAGATTTATTCATTTCTTGTCACAAAGTTTTGAGTTTAAAAATAATGAAAATTAAAATGGTATCTGAGTTGGATATCTAATTATATGCCACATTGTGTTTCTAACTTTACAACAAAAAAAAAGTAAATCTGAATTCCAATGCTTGATCACTAGCCAAATATAATGACCAAGCTATTAAATCCTCTATGATGCTTTCGACGTTTCTAAATTCTATTTAATTTTAAAAGTGTTCCAGCATACTTTATTTTTGCATGGCTGATAAAAGTTGGGACGATGGTTAACAAAAGGAAGTAGCCATGATAAGATACGTTCTAGCTAGAGCAAATATGTGTTGACCATCTATATTTTCGTTTTTTTGACCCATTTATGAATTTATATATCCATCAATTCCCCTCAAATTTTCAACCAAAAGCAACTACGAAATATAAAGAAGCCTAGGAAAGCTATATCAGTTAACATGTAGGCTGATCTGTTATTTGATTTTAACTCTGGATATGTTCCACCAAATCGATCCGAACTAGTTACTAAATACCAAACTATTCTAAATAATCAGTTGCAGATCCGACTACACCTATATGTAATGTTTTAGAAATTAATTAAGGTCAACATTCAGCATTCTTTATATGACAACTAGTTGGTGATCCACGCTACGCGCGGCTATGTGATTCATTTTTATATATTTTTGTATTTAATTTATTGTATAGTATATTCTTGAGAATTTTAAGATGAATTTCTGTTTTTCATATGTATCTCTTCGATTTTTTTTTTATTTACAACACGTGAATTTAGATATTTTGAGGTTGTTTATTTTTTTTTCAATGTATTCATCTTGAATTTTTTTTGTTTTATCTCAATTTTGATCAAATATATCAATTCAAGATTAATTGATTTACTTAAACAGATAAGAAAAGAGAACATGTATGATATTAGATATCCAAATTATCTGTTTAAGAATTAAAATTTTTAAAATTATATATTTTTTAAAATTTTCTTTGACTTTTTGGAATTTTTCCAAAATACTTTTTTTAAGTTGATTTTCATCCAAAATATTGAGAATTTGTAAATAGATTTTAGATAATGCAATTTCTCGAACCCGTCTCGTTACCCAAATTTTCTATTCTATTTTTATTGGATTTTCTTTGGAAATTTTTTTCCGTCTTTCTAATTACCAATTCCCATCACACTTTCTTAAATTTCCACTTTTAATCTTGAAATACTCAAAGCTAATGTATATCATTGTTATTATTAATTTGTATTTTGTATTTTGTTTATTTTTTATTTTTTGTCAACACATTATAATTTGAAGTTTTATGTTTGCTATTTTTATATTGAATTTTAATATTAATTTTTCCGTCTTTTTAATTATCAATGTCCGTCACACACTCATAAATTTCTGCCTTGAATCATGAAATAGTCACAGCTAATGTATATCAATATTTATTGGTTTATTATATTGTATTTTGTTGATTTTTTTATTTTCTGATAACACATTATTTATTTTATGCTATTCTTTTATGTTGAATGTTAATATTAATTTTTATTATTTTCCATCTTTCTAATTACCAATTCTGTTACACAAACGTAAATTTCTGCGTTGAATCTTGCAATACTGAGAGCTAATGTATATCATTATTTTTTTTATAGCATTTTGTTGATCTTTTATTTTCTGACAATACATTATAATTGTCTTTTTATGTTTGCTATTTTTTACATTGATTGTTAATATTAATTTTCATTATTTTCTGCCTTTCTAATTACCAATTCCCGTTTCACACTCGTAAATTTCCTTCTTGAATCATGAAATACTCAGAGCTAATGTATGTCATTATTTTTTTATTTTGCTATTTTGTACTTTGTTGATTTTTATTTTCTGACAACACATTATAATTGTATTTTTATGTTTGTTATTTTTTATATTGAATATTAATGTTAACTTTTATTATTTTCCGTCTTTCTAATTACCAATTCCCATCACACACTTATAAAATTTCGGTTTTAAATCTTGAAATATTCAAAGCTAATGTATATATTTTTTTATATTTTTTTTTATTTTCTGACAACATATTATAATTATCTTTTATTTTTTATATTTTTTATATTGAATATTATTGTTATTTTGTGTTTTAAAAGAATTTAAATAAAAAATAATTAATGATGTAGTTGTTGAGGTGGCAGCACCAGAAGAGAAAAAAGCTTACTTTATATATATATATATATATATTAATGTTATTTTGTGTTTTAAAAAAAATAAATAAAAAATAATTAATGATGTAGTTGCTGAGATGGCAACACCCGAAGAAAGAAAAATTTACTTTATAAATATAGATTTTATACCGTTCTAGCAAAGTATTAATTAATTTTTGCTTAAGCCGCAAATGATGACATGGGTTAGCGGAAACCACGTTTCAATTGTTGAAAATTGCATTTAGGCCCTTATAACTTTTAAGTTCCGACCTGGATTTGTCCAGAAATATCCACGTGCACTAGAATCTCAGATCTGTACCATTCCTCAATCCTTTTATGGTTGTGTATACAAAAACCACAATGGTCCCATATAAGACCACATATCTGACAACTGAGAGCTACTCTGAACGTACTCAGAGAAAATAAAATAACGAAATTTTTCAACCAATACAAAATTTGTATCTACTCAAACTGACTTAGCTAGAGCCATATTATCAACTAATCATAATATATTTCATAAATGAAAAAAAGAAAAAACAATTTCATCTCATTTTTAGATGCAAATTCGAGTCATAACTGTGTAATTTTTCGGGTTAACCCCTCGAGTTTCCTTAATATTAAGTTTTCTCACAAAAAAACTGTGTAGTTTTTTTTAGCTGGTCAATCAATTTTTTTTTCTCTGTTTAAATTAATTATTTAAGTGATTAGCCTTTTTGGTGCTAATAGATGCAAATTCGAGTCAAGTATTACGTTTAAGAACATCTTTATCCATTTAGATTAGAAATATATTATGCAGTATATATGTATCAAACAAATATGTGGAAAAACTTTGTCTAAACTCTGCTGTTTCTAATAAAACAATAGATAAAAAGATTTAATCTTTTGGTTGTGTTGTTTAAATTGGTTTAAAGTAAACGATGACAACAAAAAAATTAGTAAGAATCATAAATGTTCCGACTTTGCCTACATGTAAACTTTTTTTTTTTTTTTTTGAACTTTAACCTACATGTAAACTTGATCATTATATTTATAGGACATTTGTATTTAATCTATATTCACTGGTGCATACGTACAAAGGCGAATAAATAAGTTTACCAGATTACAAACTAGCTGATGAAAAACTACTAAAGAAATAAAGAGATAAATACAATCTTGTTTTCTTTGAATAAATAGTATCATACGATCTTTCTTTTTTTGTTTGAATTGGACTTATGATTATTTTTTTTCATTGGACTTATGATGTAGATGTATTGTCACACTCGTATTAATACATCTAAGCGGCACTGATATACGTTTAGGGTTAAGCCCAAATGGGCTTTACCCTTTTAACTTAATAATCGTTGCCAGTGATTTTCTCTATTACTCCAAAAAATACAAATCATACTCTTTCGTCCTACATATATAGTGTCATACGATCTTGATTCTTGAATGCATTATAATGAGAGTTGACACTCACCAAAAATAGACAAGCAGACCTTTTTAAAAATGGCGAACGATAAATTATGCGCATCTTTTAGTAGCAACTGTAGCTTTCAAAATTATGTTAAGAGTCGTGGCATCACAGATTACCACATATCACATTAGTTAATTAGTATACGCAATAATTAGTGACTAGTTATAGTATATCGTAGTTTAGGTCAACTAAGAATAAAACACACTAAATTATTTACTAAACACGAAAAGCCATATTGGGTGGTTTATGAAATTAGACGAGGCACCTCAGGGCGTCTCTTCTGAAACTTTTCGTATAAACATCTTAAGAATATTTATAGATAAATGAAGAGACGCTTTTTTAACAAAATTAAAAAAAATATACTATTACCTTAAGTTAAAACAAAATTTATAGACAATCAAAATTTTCGCATTGAGTATTTCATAATAAGTGTCATTTGAAGAAAATGTATCTGCATTGTAATTTGAAATGTTTTGAGTTTAATATATCTATATACATTACAAATACATTTTCTCCAAATGACACTTATTATGAAATAGAGAAAGTATGTCGTACGCTTTCAGGTAACGCCTATCAAGTGCCAATCAAAAGACCCCAAAAAGAAAAGGTTTTGACATTAAATTTTGTTGGCAAAACAAATTTAGTCAAGAGTAATTGACTTTGCATTGCTTGCGGAGCTTGAAAACCCCCCTTGATTGTAAGTTTGTAACTATAGTAACACATGAAAACTATTGCTTCCAGCTAATTCTATATAAAAAATGGAATAAGTTATTAAGTCTAACTAGGTATTTATCCGCGCTATGCTGCGGGATATTTTTCTAAATTTTGTCTATATATATTTTTCTAAATTTTGTATATATTTTTAACATAATAAAATTATTTTTATAATGTAAATGAGTATTATATATTTTTTTTATTAGCTTAAGTTATGTATTTATATGTTTTATATATGAATAAACATTATATATATTTTTCAAAATTATAATTTGCTATTAAATTTAGTTAGCTAACTAATTATAAATATATATATATATATAGAAATAAAATATATAAGAATAAAGCAATACATTTTTAGTACCTCCATGCTAATGGCAAATGTAATCTATTTTCTACAATAAATTGCCATTTGATCCTCTTTTATAATTATATAAAGAAATATACCATTTTGAAAAAAGATTTATTCATTAATATGATTATATTGAATTGTAAAATTTATTTATTTATCAAATATTTTATTATAAACATACGATTCTAAAACTACCAAACTACAATCAAATAACATTCATATCAAAATTATTGCTATTGCTTTAGAACTAAATAGAAAATTATGTTTGAACTCTTAAAATATCGTTTTAGTTAAAATTAAATAATTAAATTTTGGTTACTGTAAACATACTTTAACTTTGAAATTTAGCACAGAGAAATTTTATCTTCTTACAAAAATCGAAAAATCGCATTTCCCGTCAAAACAAAAAACAATATTTTCTCATTAAACTGAGAAATCGCCTATTCCCGCAAAAACCAAAAAACTCATTTTCTCGTCAAACCTAAAAACTAAAATTTCATTTTCCCGTGAGAACCTGTGTTTTTCCACCAAAGCCGAGAAATTACGTTTTTTTCACAAAAACCAATAAATTTCATCTTCCTGCAAAAAAAAAAAAATATTATATTTTCCCGCCAAAATCGAAAACTTTATTTTTCCTACGAAAACTGAGAAATTGTCTATTCCTGCAAAAAAAAAAATTTCTCGTCAAGTCCAGAATCACGCTTTCCTACGAAAACAAATAAACTACAATTTTCCGCTAAACCAAAAATTGCATTATCTCCCTTGAAATTATGTTTTCCCGCGAAAACTAAGAATTTATTATGTTTTTATCACTTCAAATTTTTGCTGATGTGTGAGCTTCTTATAACATTAAGCTTTTTGCGTTGTTGTCATGGAAGCATAATTGATGTCAAGCCTACGCTTTTTCAATCATATACGTCTATGTCAAACAAACAGATAGCTAAAATTTTTTTTATTATTTATTTGTTGTTATTTATTATTTAGATTTGGTTTTGGCAAAAAATAACAATGTTTTATTTTTTTATTTGTTTTTATTTTTTATTTTTGTTTGGATTTGGAAAAAAATAAAATAATTAATTTTTTTGCTGTTATTAATTATATGGACTTGGGTTTGGTAAAAAATAAAACAAAAATTAATAGAAAAATTGTGTTTTTAATGGGTTTAAGTTTAAAATTTAAAATAAGTAGATGAGATGTATTAATAAAATGTTTTGATTGGTGATTATTTTTGCTGAGGTGTCATGTTTATAAAACTTAAAAAAGCTGATGTATCAAGCCATAGAGAGACTTTAGTGTTATTGTTGTGTTGATTATAATTTCAAAGATTGCCTTAGAAATCTTCTATTGTTTAAAAATAATAATCAAAGTCCAAGGTGGAGACATATTTCGTATGTACATATAATATAATAACATTTTCTTAAAAGAATATAATAACATTTACGGCAAGAATCGTACGTATTTTAATAGAAAAATTCTTACAAGCACCTACTTCATTAATTGTAGTCCAAATAATTGTACAGTGAACTTGAAAGTTTCATTGTCTTTGTTTGGGGTAACATATGAAAGTTACGTTTAACAAGAAAAATATGCATGATGCAAATACAGTTTGACTAAAAATGCAAAAAAAAAAAAAAAAATATCTATATATATATAAGGAAAAAGAAAACTAAGGGATTCGCGTTATTGTTGATTAGATGAATATTCTACAGTTTTTCCAAACTGAATCTAAATTAGGACGTAGTTGATTTGTACATATTTAAAATATTCGACATAAAAATGTTTATCAGTTATTGATTTTAAAATAGATGTATGGTAAAATGTTAGGTGCTAAAAGTCTAATACTCCTTTGTTAAATAAAAATGTTTTTGAATTATTGAGTTTAAAATAACTGTATGGTAAAATGTTAGGTGCTAAAAGTCTTATACTTCGCCCTTTTCTTAAAAAAAAAAAAGTCTTATACTTATAAAACTAGGATGAACGAATATGATTTGTATTTTCTGGAGTCATATAGAAAATCATTGGTAACGATTATTAAGTTAAAGGGTAAAGCCCATTTAGACTTACCCTAAACGTATATCAGTGCCGCTTAGATGTAATGATAGGACCATATCTCTATTACACATCATAAGTCCAAAATTCTATGATTCATTTTAGCACAAAGAACAATTTACATATTTTCGGCCCTTATAAAAATTATAAAAACAAGAGGAATTATCGACTAATTGTCCAATGTTGAATTTATGCCTAATCTTTATTAAAAGTCAATTAATTGAAAAATTTAATAAAAATAAAAATATTCAATTGCTCTAAGTAGCTAGGTAGCATGAATTTTTTTTTTTCAACCTTCATTAAAACACTTAAAAAAAATATTCCAAAATAACCCAGAATAAGAAAATAATGAGAAATAGGTATTCTATTAAAAACAAATTGTGAAACTCACCTTATTTTATGGTTTTTTTTAAATACTAGTGTTATCTTTCTAACTATTTTTACTTGTCACCTAATGACAGATTAATAACATACTGAATGCAGACTATTGACCGACTGATTGGACTAGATGATATTGGAATCAAAATCATTTGTAAAAAAATTCGAAGCTTGCTTCCTATTTCCATAAAAATCTCATTAAAAATGCAATAAAAACTTCCAATTGTAGTTTGAAATTTATACATTTATATTTAAAATATGGTGTCATAAATATATAGAAAATAGATTGTTTTGATATGTTAAAAAAAGTTGTTTTGATCATATGTAAAATGTGGGAAACTTGGAATGATATTCATCTGATTAGTTGAATGAGATTATCTTGGTAGATTTGACTTTGGTGATCTTTCTTTTGACAATATAGAGTTTGGAGTAGTTTTGTTTCACAATGTTGAGAAAAAATGAGGATGTAAAAGGTGATTTAGGTTAAGATTTGAGTTTCAATCATATGATTTTTATTTATTTTTAGTTGAGTTGTGTCTTATGAAATTACAGTGAGAGCATCAAAAAAGCACCAACTCTTCACAACGAAGATCCCAGTCTTCCAATTTCGTAAACCTGAGCAACTAAATTTAGAGCACTAAGCTATAGATTTTGTGAGCCATAATAAAAACACTGTTAATTGTAATATTAGAGAGTACGGAAATATAGAATCAGAAGAAGATACAAATAAAATCAAACACATATACATAGATCACTCAAAACAAAATTAAGTCCAAACAAGATTTGTATTTGTAATGCAAAACCCCAACAATACTTTAACGGGAATAATATTACAAAACGCTTAAAAATATTAAACGGCTGGAGGATTAGGAGAACGAGGTAAAGGAGATCCAGGGCTCATTCTTGGAAGCTGAATGGAGTCCTCGTCATTGTCATGGTAGATATAAGCAAAACCACCGTGACGTGCTATATCCATTCCTCTCATCTCATCTTGCTCCGAGATCCTAAGCAACTTGAGCTTTTGAAGAATGAAGAAGAGTGTTCCCATTGTGGCACTAACCCATCCAACAATCACAACTATTTGAACCAGTTGTGCTCCCAATAACTTCCCTCCTCCACCCATCAACAGCCCGTAGTGCCTTCCCGGGCTAGCACCGTAAACCTCGTTTACATACTTCTCTTTTGCAAACAGTCCTACGAATATCAACCCCCACGCTCCGCACCCTCCATGTAGTTGCGCCGCCTCGAGCGGGTCATCGTATTTTAGGATCTCTGCGAGCTTGTTGCATCCGATAAGGACGAGGGAAGCCACAAAACCGCAGACGATCGCTGCCCATGGCTCTACCACGGAACAACCTGCGGTTATGGCTGCGAACCCACCTAGTAACCCATTGCAAACGTCAGTTACATTCCAGTGGCTTGATAGGAGACGTTTTCCAAAGAGCGTGGTTAGAGCCGCTGTGCATCCCGAGAGAGTCGTTGTAACTGCTGTCCGTCCGATTCCACTCCATTGACCGTAGCTAGAACCAGATTCGTACGGTATGAGGATCTTGGTGAAAGAACCGGGGTTGAAACCATACCAACCGAACCAGAGGAGAAAGGTCCCTAGGACGACTAGCGAGGCAGAGTGTCCACGCAGAGCGATAGCACGACGTCCTCCTTCCTCGAACCGACCAATCCGAGGACCTTCAATAAGGGCACCCCATAACCCGGCAATACCACCAACCATGTGAACAACACCAGAGCCAGCGAAATCGATAGCTCCGGTGCCAAACAAACGGTCTGCTGAATGGAAGGGACTAGCCCATCCATCCACAGACCAGAACCAGTGAGAAACGACCGGGTAAACAAACCCGGTCAAAAAAGAAGAGTAGATCAAGTACGCCACAAACTGAGTCCTCTCCGCAATCGAACCGCTAGTGATTCCAGCGGCTGCGATTGCAAACGCCCATTGGTATAGGAAGAAGGAGTAATCCGAGGTAAGAGTCGGGAAGCTTTTAAGACCAAAGTTGTGTCTTCCGATGAATCCATTGGAGGATTCTCCAAAAGCAAAGGCGTAACCAAAGAGATAGTAGAAGAGTCCTCCGGCTGCAGCGTCAAGGACATTGGTGAGCATGATGTTCATCGTATTCTTGGCTCTAACGGAGCCAGCACAAAGCATAGCAAAGCCGAGCTGCATCGCGAAGACGAGGTAGGCAGAGAAGAGGAGGTAAGTGTTGTCTATGGCGAAGGCTGCATCGGTAAACTTGTTGTTGACGGTACCTAATTGGCCGCAGATGTAGTCAGCCGCCGCCGTGGCGTTGGGGCCGAGCAGGGCAGAGAGATCTGCAGCAGAGCAAGTTATAGCTCCCGACATGTTGATTGTTGAGAGAGAGTCGTTAGAGGGAAAGATTCACACGAAGAAGAAAGATTGTCTCGTATGTCTATTAAAGGAAGGAAGAGGAGCTTTAGGGTTGACTTTTGATTCCGGCTTGACTAATCAAATACGTAGTTAGTTACTTATTGATTAAAATTTCTATGAGATAACAACAATATTTAAATTTTCTGTGAGATAACAACAATATTTGAATCAAAGATAAAATCTGCCAAATCTTTTAACTATATGGAATCTATACACGATTACGGTTTTAGTGATTGGCATGTACTTTGTGAATATAAAAAAAGCGAGGGTATGTTTAATTTAAGGGAAAAAAGCAACTGTGTCTAATGAAATTATAGTTAATAAATCGGGCGTAATTAATTATATTTTTCCTGGTCGTCAATTTATCGTAATATTCTAAAATCAGAAAGATAGTTTCTAGTTGTACGTATTCAAGGTTTTTCCATAAACAAAAACAAAAATGACTAAATTAGCTGGTCATGCTTCAATGAATAATTAAGTTAATTAGCCAATGGAATTAACTTTAACGGAGAAAATTGAATGACGTTAAACTGTTGCTTAAAAAGAGATATAATTAATTAATTATTGATCTGTTGTCGTATACGTTAGCAAAATATATTGACCAAGGAATCTGCATCTAAGATTCCCGTACAGAGTGGGACCTAATGATCCGCTTAGATTCACACTGTCCGTGACAGGGAAGAACTCATTCGTGATGTTGTCGTTCGGGGAAAAAACGTTTACATGCATGTTTCTGAGTATCTCCAATTTCTAGTAGTATTTGATAAAAGTTAAAACAAAAATAACAAATAGTATACCTAGGCCTAGCAACAAAAATTGTGGCAACTAGCAAAACGAAACTATAATTGTCAGATATTAATCATCTTCAAACTTTATGATAAAAAACATTATTTTAACTACAAATTTTTCATTTTTATTATTATTGAAATTCAAACAAATTCAGAAATACTACTACTAAAATCAATTGCAATAAATTGATTAGTCACGAATTGTTTTAAATCAGTGCCAATCGGTGTAACGGTGGTTTCTCATATTTTATAGGGTTTTGTTAATTGTAAAAAATATAGTTCCGATGTATTATGCAAAGTCTTTGAGCTTATTCTTTTGTTTCTAATAGAAACATCTTTACATATATACTATGTCTGTTCCACCAAACCAGCCCGATCGAACTACTAATTAGTAATTACTTATTACCTATATACCGAACTGTTTGATTGCAGGTTAGCAGTTGTAATTGAAGATTAGGTCAAGATTAAGCATTTCTTTATATTAGAAAATCTTAATTATGATGATCTTGCAAAGAATTAATAATGTTTGCTGAAGGTTGAAACCGAAAATAATAACATGGGGTAGCGGCCTAGCGGGGGACCACGTTTGATTAGTTTCAAATTGCATTTAAGCCCTTAAATTCAATTATTCAACATATCAATGACGTTTAATTTGATTCCATTAGCGAATCTTATTGCATAATAAGAATAGTTAATGTTCCAACTTCCAAAGTACGCCTAAACTTAATCATTGATTTATTATAGGACACTTGTAATCAACATTCACTGATAGATACGTACAAAGGAGAATCTGTGAGCTCATCAGATTTCAAAACCAGCTGATGATCAAAAACTACGAAAAAAAAAAACTAAGAGCATAAAAATACATTATTATGAGGGTTGACACTCAACAAAATAGACCAAAAAGCAAACTTTTTTTTCAATTGCGACGAATGATAAAATTATTCACATATTTTAGTAGCATTGGTAGCTTTTAAAATCGGACAAAATAAAGTGACATCATGGATTACCACATTACACAAATTAAAAATTAAGTAATACGTAGTAATTACAGATTAATTATAGTGCATATGTTTTTTAATTTAGGTCAACTGGCAGTTATAAAAAACTTAATCTGTTTACTAATTACGAAAAGCCATATTAAAGCATCTTCCGCGGTTAAAATTCTGTGAGAGTATCTAACAAAAAAAATATTAATTTTTAAATTATAAAAAGATTTAAACCAATCATAAAAAGAGCATATGTAGAAGGGTTTGTTAAAATAGTTAAGAATGTTTGTTAAAACAGAAACTAAGAAACGCTTTTAATACTTTGTTCTTTATTTTTATTATTTTATTAATATATTTTTTAAAAGATTGTGTTTAAAAACCTCCGATGGAAGTGGTCTTAGGTGGTTTACAGGTATGTGAATTTAGGCAACCAATTATAAAAACTGGTCTGTGAAAACTTTGGAATTTTCGTTCGTGAGAGTCAACAGAGATTAAGTTTGCATTGCTTGCAGAACTTGAGAACCTCTTGGATTCTAACTATATTAGTATATTTTTTCTTTGGTTGAATAACTATATTAGTATATTACTAATAGATTTAATCTCGGACGTAGATTTCATCTCGAACTTAACTTCACAAAAGTTTCAGAAGATTTGCAGGTTTGAGTTGGTCATTAATTTTGGGTTGAAGTCTTTCTCTATATTTTAGTTTTGCTAATTTCTGCATTAGTCTTTGCTTTTTAATTTGGATCTGTGATGTATTAGTTTAGTTTTCTGTAAATGTATCTTTCTAGGATTTTGAGAACAGTGGTTTCTCTGTTGCTGTATTTTTCCCTGTATTTCATCTTGTATTTCATCATGTATCCCTCTCAGTTTGTATAATATTAATTCAGATGACAAAAAAAAAACTATATTAGTATATTACTAGTAGTTTAGTACCATTAAAAACCAGTATTGTTTAGTTTACAGCAAATTCTATATATTTCAGTGGAATAGGTCTCTAGTTCAAATATTCCTTATTAAGTGGTTTTTTGAACAAAGGCTTTCAATTAAATATTCCTTATCAAGTTTCTAATTTGGTTCCTAAGTTCAACTTATATAGGCATATTTTTGTGCGTATATGTATATATAATATAATAACACTAACGGCAAAAAAATTCAAAAAAAAAAAAAACACTAACGGCAAGAATGTTTGCAAGGTTTCGTATGTATTTTAATAGTTCTTTTTTCTTACAAGTTACAACCACCCACTTAAAATGTAATTCAAATTTATACAGTACTGAAATTTTTGCATTTTTATCTGTGTTTGGGGTAACACACGAAAAATACGTTTAACTAAACAATTATAGTTCATACCAAAAAAAAAATTATAGTTTGATAAGGAAAAAGCTGTCGTGGCTTTATTATTCTACAGTTATCTAAACTGAATCTACAAAAGGAGTTGGATTATATATATTTTAAATATTAAGGAATAATGGATTCTATATATTTTAAAAATGTTGGTTTGGGAAATATTATCGAAATATTTAATTTTAAATGTAGAAGCATGGTAGTAGTAATAATATAGGTGCTAAAATTAAAACAAATTTGCTACAAAATATATGGGCCACGATTGTTAACTAAGCGAGTAAAAGCCTATTTGATTATATATTTTAAGCTTCTTAATTAAATATACACAGAATTTGTCAGGAAATATTTGAAATCTCATAAAAAAAGAGAGAGTGACAATTTACGTGTAAGTTTAGGCAAAAAAACTAAAAATATCGAAAGTATCAATCGAAAAAAGGTGAATAAAAAAGTAATTTTATTATGGTTGAAAACCCGACAGTATTCATCCACGATGGTGATAGTTTTCTATCTTTCTGATGAGAGTAGCGAGAAATCAGGCATTCTTTTCACTGAGTAATCCCACGATTGATATCTCAATCGATCGTGATAACAGTTTTTCCTCGGCGATACTTATCCATTATTTAAGAATCGTTAATGATCAATTAAAATTCACAGACAAACGCAAATACTCCTTCAATTCCTCCTATTTGCAAATACATCAATCCTCTACAGCAACAATGGCGGATAATCTCAGGAGAGCAATTCAGGACATCAACATTGGAGCAGAAGACCCTCCTTTCGTTCTTCCAATGGAGATTGTCCATGAAACTATGGCGGCGAATCAATTTATCATAATTGGGAGACTGGTCATGCCGAAGAGACAGAATCTTCGTTCAATTGTTGCAAATCTCCCTCACATATGGGGAGTGACGGGCCACACACACGGTGGAATCATAAAAGGACGGTGTTTCCAATTTATTTTCTCAACGGAGGAGTTCCTTGAATGGGTTACAAAGGGAACCATGGGACTTTGCGTAGAACCAAGGATACTTGAAAGTAATCGGACAATTCGAATAGAATAGAAGCTTGTAACCAAAATACTTTATTAGAATCGGTTAAACAATTCTTAAGAACTTGTTTAATCAGACTGATACACCCTTACAACGATCTCAATCGATCTGTAATGTAACAATGACCAATTCCTAATCTACCCACATAGCAACAGCTGTGTTTGCTTCAAGAGCACCTAAACTCTCTTCCAAGACAGAGTGTTCTAATCCCCTTTAGTATTAACCCTAACACCAAGACAAAGATCTTCTATTTATACTCAACTCGCAGCGCCAAACTTGTTGTGTCTTGAGTATCCACCATATTCGCAAATCATCAAACATGGTAACTTCTAAATCTTCCTTGATTCCCACGTATCCGGTTGTCACAGCTCTTCTGACTTCATGCCATATGTGTGTAACACACTTTCCAGCTGTTCCACTATTCTTGAACTTACAATCTCCTCCTTTTTGCCTGAATATGACACCTCAAGCTACCTATCATGTTAGTTTCAGCAACACACACACGCAGCAACCACAACATATCCAAGTAAGAAACTTTCATAGATTAAGCAGTAATGCACAGTTCAGATCACTTAGCAAGCTAAGATTGTTCAGGGAAAACAACCAAAACCAAACGAAAAAACAGAGAGCCAAAAACTAATCCAAGGAAAGGTTCTTGAAAACACTGCAAAAGCAACATATGTGATCACTTGGATACACACCCACAAAAAATTTCCTATCATCTTAGTCATCCACTTCATACTTGTGTATTCCACCAAGTCCGTCATCAGGCTCCTCTCCTC